GGCTGTGAGATGCCAAACTTCAGCTAAACATGGCTTGGAAAGCAAATTAAAATCATCTCAGTAGCAAGGGTGTTTGCTCAGGGAATATTAAACAGCCTCAAAGCTTCCTTCATCACAAAGGACTTTATCCGAACCAAAGAGAAGCAGTAAAACCGAAGCAGAACAAGGCGATTACCCCCTTCTCTCTGTTTGTATCTTTCTCTCACACAAACACATGCATTCTAAACGCTAATTTCTTGCAGACAGCCTGTAATGCAGAACTCTGAACCAAGTGGCCCCTGGATTCAAATATTTGGCTGCTAAATTCACATCAAAGTGGATTTCAAAGCCTGTTCTTCTTTGCAAGTTTGGGAGATAATACCATTTTCTTCGTTCCATTTTTTCCTTTCCTATGCAGATGGCGCTTTCTGTTCTTCCTTGATCCTTTCCTATTGGATATGAGATTTTAAAATGTCCACTTAAAAAATGGAATCCAGCTTATAAATGAGGGTTGCAGCATCCCAAGGTCACATGATCACCCTGTGCCACCTTCCAAGCCGGCTTCTGACGAGCAAAGTCAACGGGGAAGCCGGATTCAATTAAAAATGAGGCCAAAAAAAAAAATTCTAAAATTGGGGATGACTCAATTAATGACTTGCTTAGGGATGGAAATCCCAATCTCAATTGTGATCGTAAATCAAGGATTATCTGTATGTCTTAAGCTGTTAACTAAAGAAAAGTTTCAATAAGCAACATGTGACTTGTGTCCCTTGGATCTGTGAAGCCTTTATGTTCAGGAGCAGTCTACCCTCAAATATCACTATTGGAAGCAGATCCAAGACATACCTCACTCAACCCATGGACTTTTCCAGAGCACTTGATAGCAACTAGTTGCTGGATTAAGCAGGCCTTTAAACTGAATTGGAAAAGTTTCTGATATCAATCAATCAAATCAATGAATCAAAGTCACACTTCACAAAGGGCTTTTAAACTGAGATACAGTCATCAGAAAGGTGAAAGTTAGTTTATGGGAGAGAAACAAACAAACAAAAAAACATTAGCCACATCGTATACGGAAAACTTATACAAAACGTTTTATAGGTGGCATCTTCCTCCAGCAAAACTGGCCAAAATGTATCAAAATATATCACCCAACTGCTGGAAATGTACCCAGAAATACGGATCGTATTACCACACATGGTGGAAATGTAGAAAAACCAGGCTTTTTGACATAGAATTCGGAGGTGGCTTGAGATGGTAGGGCATAAAGTGGAATATAAACCGCAATTTTTCCTACTTGGAATCATAACAGGAAAAATACAATAAAGAGGTGATTTACTTAATAATACACATGATCACAGCAGCAAGGTTAGCCTTTGCTCAAAAGTAGAAAGATAAAGAAATTCCCAATGAAAGTGAAGTACTAAAAAAGATATGGAACTTCTTGTTCTGCAGGCATTTCTTGTTGTTTCTCATAATTCCAAATCTCCATTTCTAAAAACTGAAATATGAAGCCAAAAGAACCTCTCCCTTCTTGTGCATCTTCTTTGTACTTTTTAAGTTCCATTTTCAGTTCTTCTAAAAGTGGAGCCATTTTAAGCAGTTTTAAAGAACCACCCGATTGATTTTAGTCATTCAAAACAATAACCAAGAATCCAGAAATCATCAAGTAATCCAGATAGTCCCGAGTTATATCTTCTTATTTCTTTTTCGACTTTCTCTTCCTGGGGTTTTTGTTGCGATATTTCAGTTAGAATGTATCTTTTGGAAGTCTTGTTGAGATTTTGCTGTAAGTTCTTTTTTAATTCCAGGTAGTCTCCTCCCTTCCAGATCCTGCCCTTTTATTCTTCCTCTCTCCTTTCCTGTTTTCAAAAGCTTTTAATTATCCGGAATCTTTATTATCCCTTTGACTTTTTATTTTCAGCATTAAATGCCTATTGATGTCAAAGTGGATTTTTTT